GGATGGTTGGATCCTTCAAGCCCGACCCCCGTCTTCCCCCTGAGCAGCAACTGCTCCCGACCGTGGCGAGACGATTACAACAAGAGCAGTGGGAACGCGAGGGCAAGTCTGGTAGTATCTACGACAAGGAGTTCCGTCCCCTGACCGCCGAGGGATTGCTGATGCCGCCCGAAGCCGGCCCAAGCACGTCCACCCCTCCGGACGACGACGAAGAACAACAACCTCACGACGAGTGGCCCCTCAAGGGCGACGCTCCCAAGAGCCCCACGTCTCCGAGCATCAAGCAGAGCGCCTCCTACTCGACCATGCCAAAGCTCAACGACAAGCCGCAGAACAGCCCGCTGCCGAGTCCCCGCAGTCCCCGCAGCCCGATGATGCAGCCCGAGCAACCCCCGCAGACGCAGACCGTCATCCGCGTGCCCGACCAACCTTCGGCAGCCGAGATGTCGATGGGCGGCGAGAAGTCGAAGAAGAAGAGCGGCGGTTGCGGCTGCTGCATCGTCATGTGATGGACTCACCCTTTCAACTTGTCATATATCCGTGCCTACGTTTACCTTACCGACATACCCACCCACCACCTCCCGCGAGGCGAGCCTCCAACGACGTTACGACTCTCCTAATTCCTTTTCCCAGCATTCGGCCCGAACGTTCACATGTATTTATCGACCATATTCCCAACCCGAAATTATTTTTCCGACATCGTCCCACGGCGAGACGATCACACACACACACACCTCTAGAGAAGCACCACGGTCCAAGCTTTAGTTTCCTTTGTAACCCTACGCCACCGAAGAAGAAGGCCGACGAGGCTCCACAGCGACAGCACCACAAGGGTCAGCGTATGCGAGAAGAAAGAGAAGGATGTTCCCATTCCCAGTCGACGCGTGTGCCACTTTTCGATTCAAGAGGAGGATGACTTGTGGCGATGGACGACGGGGCTGGATGGAATGGAGAACGTGTTTCTGAAGATGCTGATGCTGTTGAAAGCGGGAGAGGGGGAAGAAGAGAGAGAGCCAGAGTGGTGTCGCGGCTCCTTTTGTTATCTTCGAAAGTTGAATATTACCACCACACCCTGAACAGACGGTTGAGCCGTATCACACACACATCACCACCATCCCCAACGACAGGACATACCGGCTTCTTTGAGGTTGTCTGTCTGACCCCGATTATAAAATGTATAATCGTAGCGATTCTTTTTTTGTTTTGAAAAAAAATAAGGTTTCTTTTTGGTCTTGAGTGTCCTGCTGTTGTGTTTTCCTTTTGAGGTTGTTGGTGAGAGGGGATGAGGGGGATCGTGTCCATGTCTGGCGTTTTTGCCTTGTTTTTAGTCTGGGGATGGGCGTTGAGATTGGAGGTGTTTTCTTCAAGGGGGAGAGGAGAGGAGGAGAGCCGAGCCGAGGTTGAGGGGATGAGGAGATGGAAGCAGGGTGCAGATTGGGAAGAGGAGGGGGAATTGTAAGAGGGGGGAGGGGGGAGAGGAGCGAGGGGGAGAAAGTGTGTGAGATTGGAGAGATAGGTGTTGAGGGACGTTTATATATAATTGATACCCATCCCATTTAACTTTGCTTCGTTTCGTGAGATGGATTTTCGTGAGATGAAGGAGTGGTCGGTACGGTAAAGTTGTGGAGCTGGGACTTGGCTGTGGAGGTAATGTTGCGTGAGTGTGCGAGTTGAAGACGGAGGTAGGGATGGGTATAAGAGGATGGCAAGGGAGATGATTTTGAGAAGAGCAAATCGGACACACTATGTGACCGACTTGGGGATTGAGCCTGAGTTACCTTCGATGCTCAGGGAAACTCCCGCTCGGTTGTTGGTGGGGAGTTCGAGGTTCGTAGGCTCCTGATTATGCGATGGCCGGCTTGGTTGTATTTGCTGCGATATAATCGAATGACAATGGAGGATGGAGGCGCAGACGTGATGCGTTTGCTCCCTGGGCTTGTGTGAGAATGAGCTGTGGTGCGGTTCTTGTGATATGGTTACTTAGTGCATAAGGCAGCTGAGAGGTATGCATTATCACCTGACCAATAATACAATGTCCAACATTGCCTTGGGGAAGATGGTTTACTTTTGCTTGGGGGCATTGCTTTTATAAGGTAATACATGGCAACTTAATGAAGATGTAAATTGCAGTTGTGGGTTTTGCAGGAGTATGCGTGAGGCGGTATATAAATGCAAAAAGGATGGAAGGGTAGTAGGCTGTTATGCAATCGATTAAGTCTGCGTACTGCATGTGCTTAGCAGAGTTTTAATTTCTATCTGTTTACAAGGACATCTGCTGGTGTCTATTAGCTAGCGTCTTTCTCATGTGATGAGATGGTGTTTTATTGCTGCCTGTGGTTGAGTGGTGGTGGCGTGAGAGTATTCTAGACAGAATAGATGTGTGAAGATGACGCATGATGATGAGGGCGCTTGTAAATTATCTGACCTCTGAGTGAAAGGGGTTGCGACGGGCTTGATGACGTTAGCAATCTTGCTTTAGATATCAAAACTGCACCACCGTGGAACAACTGAAGCCGAAGATATTTACTAAGTCTTTAATTGTCTGATGAAGCCTGCCTGTCCAGTATGGCCCTCTTATATAGTAATGCGAATCGTGGCTTAGTTGAGATTGGGGTAGCGAGCTAGGCTGACTGCGTTTACGCAGACGAGGAACGACTAGATGGTATAAATCTATGGGAGAGGTACGTGTCGGTTACCATGGCAGGCAAATATCACCAGAAGCGAGTCGTTGGCATCCGTGGGAGATTAGTCTCTAATGCACACCTGCTGGAGATATGCCACATAGCGATGTTGGAGCCTCCGTGACGTGACGAAGTATACCGGCCATAAATGGCCGCAGGACGTTACACTAGGCGGTAGCTGAGCAAATACACCAGGAAGAGTGAAGAACATGGAAGACGACTAGCATTAGGGGTGGTCATGCGAGATGGCTGAGACGGGGCCGTTGGCTAGTCCGCTGCTGTTGAAGTTCGCAAAGACGAAGTTTAAACACTCCAATACCCTTCTTTCTTTGGCGATCCAGTTTGTATGGGATTGGAATGCTTTTGGGTAACAGTTGAATCTTTTATGTAGGAGCAGCAGGGGCATGTTAGCTTCGTTACTTTCGGGGTACAATGCAGGACGGAGTATTTTAAATGAGCCAGCATCTTGAGAATGAGACAGCACAATGCGGTCCCCGACCAGCAGAGTGCGGAATGGATATCGATTTTGCCGGTGTCCATCTGAGTGAGAGAGACCTAGTGACATTGTTACACTCTGTCCGACCTGCAAACATCACCTAGATCAGTGCCTGTTGGCTGCTGGCATCCTCCTTCACCTCTGCCGTCTTCTGAGTATTACATTTGAGCCTTTGAGCATTCAGTCTTGTTCCGACAGCCGCTGACGCAAGTAGGTAATTCAATGTGATGCCGCGATGTCTTGTTGATAGTGAGTATAAAGTCTCGTATATTGCTGTCATTAGAAAGTAGAGCAGACCCAGCGATCAGACAGCCCTGCGTATATACTACTTCCGAAAAGTCCACAGGTACGAATGGGCGGTTGATACTTGTGTTCTTCCAGGCGAGAAGGCGGTGCTGAGAGCACTAGATGTGAGACGATAATCTGTTGTGTCAATGCCTCATCCCGACGATCAGCTCGACCGATGGGTTCATTCTATTGCTTCGATAGTTCATCTCTATATGAACACTTTGATAGTTCGGCTACTGCAAGAACAGACAAATAGTTCTCGCTGATTCTAATCTGAGGGTAATCACACGGCGTGGTGTGATTGCGACGTTGTTCGTGCTTCAGACCTCCTAGACCTATCAAGCTACTATCATGTTGTTGGTACATTTTGCACACCAAATGGTGAAGGGATTCTGTAGCGTTCCTTCTTCGTCTGTTATCTCCGTCGCATCTTACTTACCCTGTGCTTATGAGGGCGGTATTCCAGTTTGATCTGATTCCGGAATGGTTGAAGACTCTGAATCATATCAGTTGAACATTGACAGAAGAACAAGTTCCGCCAAATAGCAATTGTATTTATTGGACAACGCCCCGACAAATTTCTGATAGCAAGTAGTACATTGGTACCAGTGGGCGTTATTAAAACAAGTTTCACAGGCGATGACGGGGTTTCCACAACTGCGACTCGCAGTGTCCTGTAATGCCATATCTCTCCAGGTCAAAGTACCAACAGCTTAATAGATAGAATATATTTCGATTCTCGGCTATACCCACGCAATTTCAGCGTTTGGATCATTGTCAATTCGTAGGCTATTTCTCAGGACGCATGACGTTGAAAAAACCTTGAGATTTGGTTGCAGTTCTCTAAATATTCGGGTTCTAGAATGCGTTGTCTTTCGTCTCTTTCTGTGTATTTACCCGTTGTCTCTAGACTATTCAACCTTCCCTGAAATAAATACTACTACATTCCTCAGAAAACTAAAAGCGCAATTCTAGATGGCCACTAAGACATGCTTCATTGCACGGTCAAGTGGAGACGTTTAGGCTGCATGGATTGCTGGGAATCTCATGGACTTGCGTTCGTGCTGATTGACTCCTATTTATCTCCAAACTTTGATCTCTCGAAGAGGAAGTCGCCTTTCCAGAAGTTTGCTACCTGCTTGATTGGACGCGGATACCTTAGAGTGTGGCTTTCCTTAACTGGTAAATCCAAGCTGACGTCGGAGTCATGGTGACCACCGTCGGCTGGCCATAGAGGTTTCTTTCTTCTTTCACGTGTCAATCAAGTCTGATGATGCAACTTGCGAACCTTGATCGAAGCTTCGGTGGTAACCATGTACAACTACTGTTCGCACTTTTCAAGTTTCTTTCGAGGATTAAGCCCTCACCTTGTTGGCACACCTGGCCACAACGCAGTATTTCAGAAATTTTCATGAAATCATGAACTGCCATCAAACACTTCTCGTACATCTAACCTACTCATCTACGTTACCACAACCCCTTCAACCGACCAACCTCACTCCGACCACTCGCTCTCTCCTTTCAATCTCTACGAGATGCGCGTCAGCTCCCTCGTCGCGACCTTGTCGCTGCTCATCGCCGCCGCCTCCGCCCTCCCAGGAAAGGAACTAGACTACTGCAAACTGACGACCTGGCACACGAAATGCCGCATCCAAGACGGAGAGATTATCTGCGGAAGAGCACCTCGTGAGCCTCAAACTTGCCACCCCGGTTATTCGTTCATTAAGGTGATGGGGCCGGACGACACTTGCAACGGCGGGAGAATTGGCGACCCCTGCACCTGGACTGCCAAGTGCTGCCCGAAGAAGCCCGAGCCGCAGCCGGGCGGTGTCTTTCCCAGTTCGTCAAACAACTCATAAGCAACGGGATTCGGGGACGTCACTTCTGGCGGGAGTTTCAGTCAGTCTCGTTTCAATGAGTCCCTTGGCTCGTGGAGGTCATTGGTTTCCTACATCAACGCAACTCGGCCTGTGGCGGACGGCTTTTTTATACTGAGGTGTCTCCAACATTTCAGAGTTGGAGTTGATGGATCGAATTGACTTCAGACTATCAGGGTCAAGGGCGAGATTATTTCGACATATTTCGGCTGAAATCTATAAAACTCACGCATTACACCCAAAAACATCACCAGGCACCACGATTTAGCTTCATCTTCTCATCGATAGGCAACGATGTAGGCTATCTACTATGATCAGTGCTTTTTCGTTTTCTTCGGTCTAGCTGTTTTATCGCGGCGTTGATTTAGCAATTTTACTTCAACAAACGTGTTCCGTTCCCTGGATCTCTTCTTTGACTTTATTCCAACAGTAATGTCCCAGGGTCATAGCCCAAACAACAGTCCGCAGGCTAGTAAATGTGTTACAGAAAGATCCCGCTAGTCACGACATTCATCTTCAGAAAAAGGCAAACGCATCAGGAGAAGAGGATTATTTGACATTCTACTTCACCTTAAGACGTGCAAAAAGCCCGACTCATCTAACAAAAGAGCAGATGGTCTGAATAAGTCTGAACGGAAAGCCAAACCAATCCTGGAGTCATGTGAATCCATGAGAAGTCTCAAAAGTGCTAGTTTTACTGAGGGGAGTGGTTCGCATCATCACCGAGCTGTATCCATGTTCTGACTGCAGGGCACCTTCGCATTTAGCTCGTCCACGTACATCTCTTCTCGATGTTTAATATGCTCCAGCACACACTAGGTAGGAGAAGCTGTAGACAACCATGGCCTCACCGCCTATACGGACCGCTGGCCATCACCACAGACCCCTTCTGAAAGCCATCGTATCCTTCGAGTCCAGAAACTTCACAAAGAGTACCCGGGTCGCCATTGGAATGGTTCCCGGAGATGCAGACATTGGGTTGAATGCTATTTGAGACGTGCGATGCGTTTAAATAGCAACCACACCTCTAAATGAAGCAGTCGACCTCTTGCCTGATATAAAAGTGATAAAAGTTGCTGCCGATGCCATGAGAAAAGCAGGGAAGACAGAACGAATGTACGGTTCCATTCCTGGTATGGAGTCATTTTAAGCATATTATCCACAGATGCGAGAATCTCTTCAACGCAGCGTCTCAACCATCACAACACAGATCCACAGGCCACGGAGTGTCATCCAGCAGCGCCCGTCCTTCCCGTACAACTATTAACTACGAGTATTCTTCAGGCATCGGATAGGGTGGGTCACTGAACCTACACTTGTCGGGACAGGAAACAGGTTCTCAACCGCAGCAAACACATTCAATCTCGACAGCTTCATACGAGAGTTCATCTGGAAAGCTGCCAAACAAAAACAGTCTTTCTGGAGATGCGGCACTACTCTTTGCGGTATCGGTCTTCCAGTATTTCCTTAGCTAGATGTAAGGGGAATCGTGCCGCCTATTTACAGCTGATAAAATCTTTGGTCAGTAAGCTCTTGTGAAGCATACACGAAACATAGGAACATGATTTTCGGCCTGGGTTTGTTACGCCTATATAGAAATTCTTGTTCTCTTTCATTTTTACTACAGAGCAACTAATTCGGACTGAGCGCACGCCCAGAAGGCTATAAATACAGACCTTTTAGCTTAATAAACCAGCTCCCCCAAGAATGTGATAGTAGTAACATCCTATGAAGACAATCTGAAGTTACAACATGGATCAATACTTGGGAGCCCTCACCATCTTCCCATAATCTTGCCTCACAAGCGAACATCACCTCTCATCATTCTCCTCAGCTTATTCCTTTCAACTACTCCAGAACCAAGTCTCATATTCCGCCAGGGAAACTGTTGGTTCCCTCCAGACATTGACCCTCGCAAGATCTCAGACGGATAAAAACATGTCTCTTGATCCTGGGGTTGACTCCCGAGCTAGCAACTAAGCCGACATTTCTGATGAACCTAGACATCGCTCAAACAATCTTTATACATCATACAATAGTGGCAAAGTAATGCTTCGTTCACGGCTCCGAAATGAGTGTGTGGCGATGGAACTCTGCTTGTACAAGAAAACCTCAGAAGTCCGTGATTATCTCAGTCGTCGGACGACTATAAAGAGAAGAGGCAAATCGAAGTTTGAAAAGAAGCCACAGAAGCCCAATGCTGCGCTTGTAGCTGCTGCTAAATATTTTGCCGGTAGGTTCATGTTCTCCGCGCCAAAGTACAGCGGCAATGTCTTTGGTTTTATACACAGAGCTATATCCCAGGCTCCTTCACCAGCTTTCCACCCTCCTTCGTTCCTTGGCACCGCCATCCTAGCTCCTTCTGAGCGTAATCCACCTCACCCCTGACTTCCGCTCACGAGGTCGCTTCCCAGACAACGCACTACTTTCCGCACCTCTGGACACATCCGTCAATTCAAGGGATAATCGAAATCACCCGCCCAAAAGCGTTCTGCCCAATAGTCGCATTCTGCAAAGGATTTAGCCAACTAACTTGGAGCCGTGCTTAAATACTACCTTTAAGCTGTCTGCTAGAAGTATCAAGGTAACTTGAAGAGAATAAATTCTGGCACGATGCCGTGAATCGACCTAGGACAGCGCGCAATGACGCTCGTTGTTCCCTTTCCATTTGCATGGTGGATGAGCAACTCACCGCACCCTGTCCCTTCGTCGCGATAGCGCTATGTCTATCGAGACCAAACGCTTCACGCGCATTGCTCACTATTCATCCCTATCCCTCCCGCCTGTCCGTAATATCCCCAGAAATGTTCAGCACACGTATTCTCGAATCCAGAGATGGAGCTCAAAGTAAACAGTGCACAGCACATGCGAGTCATAACTTGGGCTTTGCATAACCATTCGCATGCGGAACGAACAAGTTTCTGATGCCAATTCTATTTCTCGTTGCTACCATGTTGAGCTCGCGATCAGACTGCCTTTTATGATGATCCCAGAACCGCCAAAAGTAAGCTTTGCAAGCATACATAACCCACACAGATCCATCGACAGGAATGAACACCAATAGCTCCTCTGTAATGGTCCACTTTTCCAAGAAGAACAACTTGAAGGAACCTATCAGCACATATCGAAGGCCTTGAAGCGGCAAACCCGTGACCACAAGCACCCCAACAGGATCATCATCGTCCCTGATCTCTGCCCCTGCCTTATTCAGGAGTATGTGTGAAGCCCGTGATGTCGGGCTTCTCGCTGCAGGCTTAATGATAAATTTTCATTCGATGAGGACTTCTGCGCCGAGGTACATCGCAGGCAGTTAGTTCATCGCATCGATGTCACTTGCAGAGCGGATTGTGACGAGCATCAAATATTGAGCTTCGCACAAGCTTAAATACTGCCGCTGCACCCGCCGCCCCGAATGAGACTGGGTGACTTAAGCACGCCTATGAAAGAATGACAGGGTGCGATTGCAAGAGTACCAGTGAGTTTCGCCATCACTACAGGCACATTAAAGAGGGAATTCCATCGTTCAAGGTCGGCATAGTGCAGCGGTCGTACGGTGAAAGTTGCCCCAAAGGGCCTGAGATTGGGGGTATAAAGATCTATCTACAAACGCCAGAAAATGAGAGCCGCCGCGGGATCGCCGCCTGTCGATCGATGTGATAATGATACAGAGTGGGTTGATATATGTACACGGCCCGGTCGACCCCCAAAAAAGAGCCAGACCTTGACCAAATGAAGCAAAGTTGGCGGCAGACATGTGATGCTATGCAATGCAGTGGCACTTAGACCAAGACGTAGAGGGCGCAAATCTAGAGCGATGTTAGTTAGTGTGCTGACTTAAAATGTGATAGACAAAACGTACCATGCTCAGTCCCATGACCATGGAACACCAAAAGCAAACGTTGTTGAGAGTCTTCTTCCCACGGACCCACTTGGTGCGCTGCAGCACTACGATAGGCAACTGCAACATCTGGCAAACAAATCCATAGCCGCGAATCTTTTTTGTGATACAAGCCATGACGATCTCATGCCCGATGGCGGAGATGAGGAAGGTGATGACAGTGGCGGGGAAGCGACCAATATGCGGTCGACTGGCGCTGTAGACGTGACGACGGAGGAAGCTGTAGACAGGAATGTTCCACTCGCGAGAAAATTCCATCCAGTCGGTCGAGTTCCACCAGTCCGAGTAGAAGTGGCGGTCGGCAAAGTGGGTGAGCTCCGCAAAAGCACCGAGTGCGTACTCAAAGATGACCAGGAAGACCAGTAGGAAGGTCAGCATGAAAGGGAAAAGAAGCCAGGAGATGCTCTCGGCAAGGATGAGGAGAGCCTCGGAGACGGGCGGAGCGGGAGTCGCGTTGAGGCGCACGGAGGCGTCGGTCAAAATTGGAAGGATGAACTCTTCCGAAATGACCGTCAGCAAGGAGATACAGCCAAAGACGGCGACAATCTTGGAGATGAGGTTCTGCCAGTCGATGCGCGCGGTACGAGGGTACTCGAGCTCGTAGCACAGAGTAGGGCAGAGGAGGTAGTCGAAGTAGTTGGACCAGGTCAGGTTGCGAGGATAGGCATTGTTGCCCAGCGGGGAAGTGAGCTCCTGGGCGAGGTCCTCGCGAAGCTGATCGATTTCATCGGAGGTAGACTCAGAGTCCGAAGTGGCCTCCGGGTTGCGGCTCTTCGGGCTGCTAACAGTGCCCATCGGGTTATCGGGGGTCGGGTATAGGTAGACCGGGTCCTTGGAGGCAGTCGAGGGGTTGTCGAGATCGTACAGACGCTTCTCGGTCTCGCACAAGTGACCATTATAGAAAGCCCAGCTGTGCGTCTTCATGAGCAGAACCATGGTGTGCAAGAGCAAGAACACCTGTGCAGTCCATGTCCAGTCAAGAACGAAAGGCACGGCAATCCAGAACACCAGCCAGACAACCTGGTATATGCTCTGGACGGCCATGCCGCCGTTCTTCCATGTGAAGGCGCTGTTGGCGGGGGCAGCGCGCCACACGCGGTGGAGGGGCAGAGACACCAAGGTGGTGGCCAACATGAGGAAATCGGCGATGGCCAGATGCCAGATCTTGATGGTGAACAAGGTCCAGATCTGGACGCGCATGGGGTATCCCGTATCCTTGATGTTGCGCAGCATGGTGGTGATGGCCATGATGGCAAGTCCGATCCAAAACAGGTTGAAGAACCCATGGAAATCGCGGTAGTCGGAATTCGGGTCAAAGTGGGAGACGCGGCTGGCGAACTCGATCGTGGGGAAGATTCGGCGGCGTTGTTCGGCGCGAGCTTGCTTTCGGGCGGAGGACATGGACTTGACGGAGGGGAGAGCATCGGCGGGAACGGGCGTCGAGCGGCCACTGCGACGATGGTGTTAGCTGTTGGATTATCGGCAAAATTGAAGCTGGGACGGGCATACCTCGTATTGCCGCTCGTCTGGCCCGTCTCGGACAGAGGAGTCATCCCATTGAGCTCGCCAACAGAGGTGTTGCTGATGGTCCTCGTGAGCTGGGAGTGTTGCGGCTTCCTGGGCCTCGGTCGCAGTACATGGTCGTGCGTAGCGCCGTTGGGCGCGGTCGCTGTTGAGGCCATCGTGTCCGGCTTGGTCGGGGTAGATTGGAGCTATTGACGGAGCTCAGACCGGTCGCGAGTCGGAAGGCTTAAAGTTGTGAAGCTTGCTGGCGCCCGGCCGGAATCGTGGGATGCAATGGAACACGGCCAGGTAGATAGGTGCAGTCGGTCCTCGGCGGAAATGCGTACGCAAGCGTGGCGGCAGCGAAAGGAGGGGAATGCGAGTGATGATGCAAGCGGCGAGAGGTGGTCGACGACAACCGGCAACGGGGATGTCGGCTCCTGTTTTTTTTTTTAGGTTCGTCGCGAAAAGGAGACGACTGAAGTTAAAGAAGGGTCTCAGGGTCGCAATGAGAGTTTGAATTTGGATTCAGGGGTTACGGCCATGTCCTCGGGTAGATTCCGCGTATATGAGGCGAGGTATCCGGCTACCTTATGCTGTGCAGACGGGACCCGCGTGTGGTTGATGCTGGATACCAAGGCAAGGCGTGGGTAAGTGATGCCCCTCCTCCACTTGCTGCTGCTGCACGTCGTTGGCGCCGTTGGGGTCCGCGTCGCATTGAGGTCAGCGCCGCCCACCACAATTACCGGAAGAAGCAGCCACTGCCTGTTTCTGTCTCTCACCTGCAGACTGCACAGCACTTTCCGGTCTTTGGGGCCACGTTTACGTCACCCCCACGTGATGCATGGGATCACGGGCCAAAGTGGGGGCGAAAACAGCTATGCACCCAATTAGAGAGCTTCTAGATGCTCCTTAGTGCCCGGAGTAGAGAGCCTCGCCGGCGATCTTGACAGGGGTGCTCGCTCCCGGAATCCGTCGCCATTGACTTCTTCGGCTCCGTTGGGCCTGGAGAGATGCCGTTCGCCGGCTCAGCTTCCGTCATGTCCAACCGGAGCATTTGTTGCTGCTAACGCGCACTGCCTTACGTGGCGTTGGCCGCACAGCCACACCTGCCATCACCAATGTGCCAATGTAGGAGCACAAACATGTGGCGTTGAGCATTTGACATGCAATATCACTCGTCTGTTAAAGCTGGTGCCTGCTGCGGCCCGGTCTCTCACTGGACGATACCCCGATCGGCGCCGGCGGTGCGGCTTAGCGTCGCCGTCAGCATCCAATTTTGAGCTCTCTGCAACGCTGTCATCCTCTTTTGATGCCGTGGCATGGCCCGATATATCCTTCAGAGTTGTCACCTAGGACCTCTGACAGTAATGAGACAAGAATGATTCAATAAGCTCTTGGTGTTGCACTGCCCCTCTCGTGGTACAGGGCTCCTACCTAGGCTTATTTCACCAGGTTTACTTTATCTGTGAATCATCCAACTTGGCTCATGTTCAACAACAAGGACTTGACATGTACGCTCCGAAGGTCAGAAACTCAAAGCCGTCTGACCGACGCTGGATTTCCCATCATGGTATTATGCCCAGTGTTCAGAATCACTGCTTGTAAGGCGATTTCATAATATCAGTGAGAGATCAGGAAGTAACTTAAGTTTCAAATAGGAGACTGAGAAGAGAATCATAGGTGTCATGCATGAAAACATATTTACAATTCCCGTAGTATACAACAAGCTGTCAAAGCTTTCTCACACAAAGGCAAATCGCGCTACTAAATGATCCTACGAATATGCTTAAGATTGAAGGGGTGAGCTTCAAGCTGTCTGGTTCATTACTTGTTTGAATAACAGACACATAGAAGGTGCAAAAGGTTCCGATATTATGAGCAACAACTACGCCCAATACACCAGAAACGCCGACCATCAGCACTGAGAAGTGCTTGTCATCAACTCTTAGCTAGACCTCGATTGCTGAACTCTACCGTGTCAACTTTGGCTCTTCTCTGCACCAATGTCCGCGATTACAGCTGTAAGCAAGCGAATATGATCATATGAATTCCACCCTAAACCTGATTTCCTCGTTACATATGCAACCGGATGGGTAAAAGTCGTTTTGAAGGTGGTCAATCATATCTCACGACCGCAGAAGCGTGCTGGAAACTGGTTATGAGGATAAATATTCGTTCCAACGTTAGAGGTTAAGCACCCCAAATGTCCCTCATCTTGTGTAACTGGGTTCAAATTAGCTGTCTATCGGGAGACAACTTGTTAGTAGTTACTGATTTCAATGCAATGCTCGCCACATGAATCCAGGTGATGGCGAGGTAGGGGAACGAACGTAGTGTGGTGGTACGTGTGGATATTTAAAGGGTGATGATGAGTGGTAGTAAATCAACATGCAAGACAAGTTGCTGGTCACAATCCCACTCTGGATGAGAGGCCGATAGCACAGAGTTCAACATTGCATGTCTGCGACTGCAGCTCTCGGCATGAACGATAAGTGGACATTGTTTCCCGGAGAAAGAAAATCTGATTCCAACATGACCTTAACAACAGGAACGACGATAACAATGGCAGATTTCGAAAAATTTGAACTTCAGAATCGCAGTAGACACGATAATAGAGTCTTGTTAAATACGCGAGCTTTATTTGGAAATCATCACTGCTATTAGACAGGCGTCTGGATGTAATCTGACGAGAGTATAACGAGTGCCTAAGTGCATACTCAATAGTAAACACAATGTGTTCCCTCGTCCTCTCGTAAGGAGTTCTATTCCAGATGTTACAGATGAGACATTCAGAGCCTGCGGTTTCCAGGCTTTCAGATAACAAGTTAGGTGCTTGTAGCTTTGTGTCGTCGCCCAGTCCAAGAATGCTAGACAGTCAGAGGGGCTCACCTGCGAGCTTCAATGAGCTTTTCAGCAGCTGCACGGGTCCCATTCATATTGCTCATGATGTCTATGATCGTTTCCTCACTATATCTCGCTGAAACGATGAATGATTTTGGTCATGCATAGACTTGTCTTCCTCCATCAACGTCGAGGACACCTCAAACCACACGTAGTAAAAACTAGATATTAGGACTAATTTGATATGGAGCTCATCAAAGTCAGAAGAAAATGACCAGATGAAAGAGAAGACCAATTCTTGAACCGCAGCCCATTCAACATGAAAGTTCAGGTACAAGAATAGTAGCTATGGCAATATCTACAAAGATACTCCAGTGGTTAGCTGCCATCGAGAAGAATGGTACCTTGGCTTCTTCATAGTTGGATGAAGTGAAAGTTCGAAAGCCTCCAGAATGACTGGTATCTAGCAAGTCTTTCGGGCTGGGCACATCAGAGGAACACAAGGGAGTGGAAGGAATAGCATCGATGGACGATAGGGGTAGCTACCTATCGATACAAATAATGATGGTATTGAACGAGGTAGCTGTCTTTTGGGACTTCGGCCGTCAGTGGCAGAACAAACCCTGACTCGCTGTTGCGATCCATATGCGCGATAACGGCAACACAGAGATCTCGGAGCAAGGCAAGTATTACAGGCCAACTATAGTTATTTTAAGATCTTTAGAAACAATGACGAGACGTTTTGCAGAGTTTAATGAGACTCGAATTTGAAGATGTTGGAGGTCGATCGACTCCCACAGAACAGAGCCCGCCGAATAGGGGCTTTTGCACATGTATGGAACAACTACTTGGTTCACGAATTGAACTTTGCGAAAGTCAAGAAACCAACACAAGCCAGGAGACCTAGGAGAGGATGATAATGATCATTGTGAGGCTTCTGTTTCCATTTTCATATCCATGGATAGGTACTTAGGTTTGGTGCATGTGTCTGGATGCGAAGTTGCCGGGACTTAAGGTAGCAGGTTACTGCCTTTGCGGGGAGGGATGAGGTGGATGCCTCAGGGTGGTAGTTGCCTCTGTGGCTTTGAAGCAAGAGCTTTGGAAGGAACGACACTAGGTTGAGGGAACCACTGACCCGGGAAGGCAGCCGTGGGTCGAGCCTTCCTCACACCGCGTCGGAGCCGCCTCTGGGAGGAACCAGTGGCTTCCAACCCAAACACTCCCTCGTCCGCATCACGACCTTCCTTGATGCTGACGACACCTCAACGCGAAGAGATCCACGATGTCCAACACCACATACCACGTATCAACGGGGCTCAAGACAGAAGCACACTACACCACCACCGCCTGAGTTCTTATCTTGCCGCTTCCTACTGCGATTGCTTCTGGACGTCAGCCAGGCGCCTGCTGACCCTGGCATCAGCTATCAATGTGCGTCAAGATCTGACATACCTCGCTAAGAGTGCGAGTGTCAAAAGTGCCGCGGACGCGTCAGGCGTCAAGGCAGCCTCCGAGGACACCCCCTAATTGACTGCAGGAAAACGAACCCCCGCGCCTGAAGCACCGGTCGTCATCGGATGTCTCCTACGCATTGGCTAAAGTGTCTCGACATGGCATAAGCGTACGGGCTCTGTGCCTGGTTTAGACCGTGATTCTCTCTGGAAGGGGAGCGATCAACGACAATCGCCGTCCATGAACTGATGTGTCGCCTGGAGACCTCTAGCACGCACCCTGCGCATGATCTGACGACAGAGCGAGTCACTTGGGAGGTAGTCATTCTCGATGAGACGCATGTGCCCATATCCGGTCGAAATTCATGACACACACGAGACGAAGAGGACGCGAGCTCAATCTTGTTGGTTTGTCTGTCTCACCCTTTATCGCGGACCTGAGCATTACTCGGTGACAGAAGCTAACCTTGACTTATCCACCAGGCCCAAGCAAATTCTCTTTGGATGCCTCCATTACCCAACGGAGCCAAGCGTCATGCCTCTCGCCGACATGCCGGGTGACATTGACAACGAGCCAACGCCCCGGATGGCTCGCGGCCGGGGAAAGGCTAGAACCGGCAGTCCAGTGACATCTATCCGTGCATACCCGTCGTGGACGACCGTTTGGGTACCGCCCAAGGAACGCGGCTAAGGAAGCAACACAGTCACCGAGTGTGGTGTTCAGTCAGATAACGCTGTTGGCCCACTGGGCTTCGCAGCCACGAGCCTCACCGAAACCAGTCAGTATTGATAGGACGGCCCTGTCAACTGTTGCGGGAAAACTCCCTCCTCACGGCGCCAATGTCACCGGCATCTTCGGTGAATATGAAATTACCCCCGTCGCAACGGCTAGCATAGGTCTTTGGCAATGACGGGGACTCGACCAAAGTACCCTACCTACCTTCCCAAAGGAAACAAGGTGGAACTCTGGCGTTATCATCTGGGCCACTTCAGTCCACGTATTTGGAAGGGGAATCGGCGCAGTCGACCATGATTCGACTTATCACGGCACAGCAAGCTCCCAGCTCAAACCTTTCGTGGACTCTGAGCTGATTCGATGCCTCCGCAAAGATAACCGGATGTCTCTTCTCGGGTTGTGGCTGCCACACCACAACCCCAACATGCATCTCCAAATTGACATCGCGGACGTCATCGGTAATCTGGGACATAACCTTAGGCTGGCGCAAGATATCGCATTGGCTGCTGGCGAAGACGTCTACGTTCCACGGAAGACACCCATCAACATCCGAGAAGTGGGTATTCTCCAGGCGATCACAGGCGCCCAGAGCCACTCGGCTCGCGTGCCCTGAATAATGGATCCGGGGACGACATCTCCAGGGCCGATCGCTTCTGGAGCGCAACGTGAGCACGTCTTCATGCTCATGAAGTCGTGCTTGAAGTGTGTTACTCAATCGAAATTGCATGCTTGCTGGAGACAGCTGGGGACAAACCGACGGCATCGCGGTTCTGCCCGTGGATCACTCGGGGTCTGGTCGGTACAGAGACCCACGCTGAAATGGAGATTAATCGCCGTGCTGACTGCTATCTCATTCGACCGGGCATTTTTGTACTGCCCGCCGGCTTCACGCTCTTCATTACCCCGGCCTCCGAAGCGGTACGAAACAATCGGTCGTTGGAGCATTCTGACAGAGGGACTCATGTCAGCTCAATTCATTTTAGGTTGACAAGGAGCCCGTCGCCGGTTATCGTGCTCGTGAGACGCCCCGCAAGGATTTCCTTGGCCAAAGGGATATTGGGGTCGAAAATTCGAGAAGTACGGTCGACACCCGGCACTTAGCTGCATTGGGATATGTCGGCATCCTGCGTCTAGCTTTGAGGTGGTATTCCCGCGAGCATTCAGCTGCACGCTGAAATGTTGCAGAGCGCAGACATACCGCTGTTTCCTGCGGGCTTCGAGGGCCTGCAGAGGCTGAGACTTCGAAACGCTTTGGAAATTCTGCCTCGATGATAGGAAAGGAGAGCCTTGAAGCAGGCTATCTGGTTGCTTGAAGTCAGCATTTGGCCACACCTCGGCCTGAACAGAACAGCACGGACAGTGGTACAACCGGCCGAAAGCATTTGGACAGTGCCCCCGCAAGCCCACCCAATACAAGGGCAATTCCGCGTAGTGGCTGGCATTTTGGGTCTGAATCGTGGCGTCCTTAGACGCATCCTTAGACAGAGATCTCCTTTGTCTTGCGGCCAGTCCGCGGGAGCTCGCCCCCAAGCCGCCTTGCTTGGCCAGGTTCGCCGTCGCCTATTGGAAGTGGCTGAATGGCACATCCGCGATCGCAACTTTCAACCCACCCAACGGGTTAGCCTCAAGCGGCGTTCATTCGGACGTGTCTCTGACAGCATCACGGCCATTGGCCGTGCTCAACGAGTGGCTTATCGGATGGCACCAGCACGGGTTGGTGGAAGGCCGTTGGAACATGCACCATGCTTCTACGGCGTTAGTCTTCCACCCGCGGCACAGCTCTCCCCAGCTTTGCTCTTTGCCTCACACACAGCTGGCCAAGCTGGCGTTGGTTGCTTGGCTAACCATGGCGGAACAACGAGGGCATCCGCGATGGCGGACGATGAAGCCTTTGACCTGAGGGCGATGTGGACCGAGGGACATCGGAAGACTGCCCGGTCGCGACCCAGGGCCACAGCGAGTTGGCGACAGCCTGCGACTCTCACCGCGGCCTTTCCGAAAAGGGGGAGGGCCAGGCCGATAGGACACTCGAAAACAAGCACGATGATTGGTGGTCTGAGTCAGGACTCGGTCGTTGGCGTCTTTTAGGCCGGCCAGGTCACTTTCACACCTTCTTAATCCAGAACAGTGGTGGCACCATTGTCACAATTCCCCGCCTCCTGGCCACCCTGGAAATTGGAATTGCTGCTGGTTGTTGTGCGCTTCAACCACATTCCCACAGCCCTATCACAGAATGTCGACATGCTTTCTGCCGCCCATTGGACAAACATGGGACGAAATCCCGGGGGTCTCCTGGACGTCTCTGTGCAGGCCCTGGAGAAAGAGGCTGGACGCAGTAGGGCGCGCTGGAACGGCGATGAACAACGAGGGAGAGTGTCCGCCGCGATGAGATTCTTACCCACTGAACCAACCACAGGATGAACCAACCGACCTGCTGCCCCAGCTTCGCCAGAAGCCATGTCCATGTCTTCGATAGCAACCCGTCCCTCCCACTCACCACGCCCAACCCAACCCTTCCCCCCATCCGAACTGCTCAGGTCCCCCCAATCTCCTCTTGCTCCTCTCGGTCAAATTGCCAGCCAGCGCCCGTTCCGAAGCAACAAGAGTGGTCGTGAATGGTTCCCCATTCGTTTAGAAGACGCCCGGACGGCTAGACTACCAGAACTTCATTGGCCATGTAACGCTTCTTTCCCCCCCTTTGCGCAGCTCCACGGACCCAGCTGCTGCTCTGTTGCTGGAGAGGCCCTCTTATCACTGGAAAGAGCCCCGAGGGGACGGGATACGGGCTTGTTCTACCCATGTGCCACGCTCGCTTTCCTTGTTGAGGAAATTACGCGAAGGAACTTTTGCCTGCAGCTTTCACCACACGGGGGAACTTGGCGACCGCCGACCAATACCAGCGCAACGGCGGAAAGTGGTCTTCGTCGAGTGTCGGAGAAGAGCCCTACCAAAACGACCTGGTGTGCTTGCTGCTGTCTGCCTTTTCGTTCCTCGAGCTACTGACGGCTCCCTGATCCCCATATCTCTCTTCCTCCGTGGACGCAGACTGCAGGAGAGACAACTTTGCCTGCCGTCCGCCGCCTGTTTTGACCCGTCCAGTCCAGCGCAGCCCAGGTCCTCCCGCCTTTCTTCCAGTGGTTTTGTTCCTGTCCATGTCCTAATCCGACGTGTCAAGCCAGAGCAGCCAGAGCCTGACCTTTCCCGACCAGCGCCAGTCCAACCGTCTCAGGCCCTTCACTCACTCTTTAATCTTTTCGAACCCATCGGTTACCACACTGGACCATGACGCTTTCTCTTCTGCCGCTCTATTTTTAACTTGGCAGCTAGAGACCCAGAGAGACCTTCTCTTTTATGTGGCGACGATCATGGGCACTTTTGTTTGGTCTCCTCCCACGCTCTCGTCTTTCATTTGAAGGTCCAGTGGCACCCCCTCCAACCGCACGGCAATTGATGCTTGCCTTGCCACAGGCAACGCGCTGGGCTTCTTGGATGAATCGCATTCGACGACACGAGGCACCTGTCCTACCGAGGAGCTTTGACTCGTCCGAGTCTTGAACTCATCAGCCCGCAGTCCGGTCCTCTGCTCTATCGGAGGACGGGACGCGGCCGAGATGTTCAATCATTCTGGGGACAGGCCCCGCGGTGCTCCCTCAGGTTCAGGATATGGGGGCAGTCAACACGGCCTCACTCTCAATACCTCTGGCCAACAATGGCCAAGGTTTGGCATGCCGCAAGGCATGGTCGGCTCTTCTCAGACATGTCCGCCTCCGCAGCAACAGCATCAGCAACAGTCACAGAGGGATTTCTCGTCGACCATGGAATGGGCTTCACCGGGCGCGCAGCAGACGCGCTTCAATATGGGCTCCTCGATGAGCCACGCACCTCAGCAGCAACAGCAGGAACAGCAGAACGATGGCATGGAACTTGACGAACTGAGCCCGGCCGGGCCTGGTGTCTCGAACTTGATCGCTCGTTTTGAGGGGATTCGCGCTGCACCGCCTAGCAGTAGCAAGGTCATGAGTCCGATGGGTTCCGTGGCAAGCCCGACAGTCACGAGCCCTTCATCGGCACACTTTGGCAGCATGAACGGCAGCATGCATAGCTCAACAAACATGAGTTCTTCTGGCATGAGTAGAATCACAAGTCCTGTCGTCAACAGCCCAGCAACGCCCAATTATTTTCGTGCCCCGGAGTCATTTCGTCCACCAGTGCCACGAAGTACCAAGCCTGTGTTGGGTCGCGCACCGTCTAACATTCCATTGTTCACGCCGGACCAACAATTCGGTGATGGGAACAATCGTTCAGGTCCTTCAAACTCCGCCGCGCAACCTCAACTACAACCTCAACCTCGACAGCAAATTCAACATCAACAGCAGCTGCATTTGCAGTCGCAACCTCAGTCTCAACCTGCCCCTCAACCACCCGCTCAACCTCAGCCAGTCGTTTTCAGCTCACGGCAGAACAACCTGACTTCAACAGCGAACGCCTTCAGCTCACAGCAGAACAACCTGACCTCAACAGCGAACGCTTTTAGCTCACAGCAGAACAACCTGACTTCATCGTCAAATACATTTACCTCACAGCCAAGCGACTTTGACTCGTTAAATCCGTTCGGCTCACAACAGAACAATTTTAATTCAACACAAAATGCCTTTAGTCCACCGCAAAATACATTCAGCCCTCCTCCGAATGCTCTGAATGCCTTCAGTCCGCCCCCTCAACCTTTCAGTCCAGGCCCATTCAGCCCGGCACCCACACCGTTCAGCCCGGCGACATCAAGCTTCAGCCCAGCACCCACGCCCGCCCCGAGCTTTGTGCCCCCGACCCCGAGTGGAATGCAGACACCATTCGGCCCTCCACCTCCCACGTCGTTCCGGGTATGTGCCAACACGGCAGCCAAAAGCTTATTTTCTAACGTCGTGCAGGGCCAAGCTCGACAACCAAGCGTCGCACCC